TTTGACCCAAATCGGACAATCCGAAGCATGTTAAATAAAGTCCTGAAATTCATATAAAAATAATGGATTTCTTTTTCCCCAAAGCTAGGTTGTTTCCCGTTGGGCGCCATTTATGTCACGATGCCTAGCTCGTGAGCGGTAGAGCAGTTGTCCTTTTTTTCTCTGCCCGCAGTACCGCATGACAATAAAAAAGAAAAAAAATATTTAAAAAAAATATATATATATTTTAATCTACTTCAGTGTCATTACGTAAGTCTGTTGTTTGTCCTGTACGACGTTCGTTGGTCCTGTCTTAGTCCGTTTGTTCTGTCCCCAGTCTCCCTGTTCTATTCTTTTCCGTTTTCTTAACTAAAACAATACCTTGTAATCCTCTTGGAGTTGTTTGCAAGAACCTAAATAATGTCTATCACTTATTTTCTTTCTAGGACTCTTTAAAGTCCATTAAAGCAACATTGCTTAATGCGCATTACTTACCTATGTCGTACTTAAACCAGCTCTTAACCTTAAAAAGTCACGATGAGTCGCAAATGAATTTTTGTTAACTATTATCGGTCGTCAGTGCATGTTTGCGATGGCTTAGAGGTTCAATCGCAATTGGTCCTGTACCGGTTGTGGGTGTGGCTCTATGCTAGTTTTGTACATGCTTTTTTTCTTTTTTTTCCTTAATCGTTTTATTGTATTTATACTAAGTTTTAATATTAATTAATTTAAAATTTACTTTAACAGTCAATTGAACTCGACTGTCAAAATTTTTAGTTGAATTTTTCGTATAAGTCGAATAAATAAATAAATAAATAAATAAGTTGGCAGCCTTTGAGTCGATGACAGCTTGATGATGTTTGCAAGTAGTGAAGGGTGCTCATGAATTTACTCTTTTGACCATTTAGCTCAGCTCCCTGAGAATAGCCGCAAATGTAAAATTATTCGATTCTTTCCTTCCAATGCTGTTTGAAGTCAATCGAGGACAAATGCAAACCGCCAAATACCAAGGCAGGCAATTTCACCACAATACAAACTTTTAAGTCATTAACAAGGGCTTACCTACTTGCCCTTTTTACCAGGATGTCTTGAATAATAAAGATTTTTCATTTTTTTTTTTTTCTTAAAATGGCTTTAACAAACACTTTATTTATTTAATTTGGGTTAGTTTCAATATAATCCCAGTTTAGAATTGTACATAAGCAAAAAAAACGACAACTTAGACTTTTAAATAGTCATTAAAACACCAGCAAGTAAATACAATTTAGAACTAATATAACTAAATAGTTGTTAACATAACCGCATATGTTTCTTGTTTTATTTTTCAACTAGAGATTTGTTATTGCTAACGGATTGCTTTTTTTTGGTACTTTAGTTTACTTGTTCTTCAGCGTATTCTTTCTTTGTCTTTCCTTTGCTTTTCCTTCGCTTTTGCCAAATACATTCCTTTTACTAAATGACTTATTTCTTGTTGTTATAAATTATTAATTATGAGGAAATTATGCAATTAGAAAAAAAACATGTAATAATGTTTGAATAAAAATTCTGAGGATTAATATACAAAATGTTTCTGTTCATATTGTTTTGAGTTTTCATTATGGTTAAGATTTAATTTAAGTAAATAACCTTTTGATGTTTTCCGTTATACATTTTTGTTTCTTTTCTTATACTGAATTTCACTAATTATATCTGTATATACAAGATATTATCAATCCTTCTCTTATTAATATCTTTTATGCTTCTATTAATATTTATAATGATTTAAACTAAATCTTGTATCGATAACATTTACAGGTAGAAAGCAAGATTTTTAATTATATTTTCTTTTTTTTTTTTCTTTTCGTTTTTAATAAATTGTTACTACAAAGAAAGTCATTCCTCTGATTTCAATGTCACCTGCATCCGATCTCCTTCACAACTCAAACTGCACTCCCCTCGTAGCCAAAAAACAACCTCCGAAACCTCAAGCACTATTTTTGTGATCATGCGATTTTGCATAACGGCATGCCGTTATTACTACATTTACGACAAAAACAGACCGACTGACACCCTATCTTGAATTTGTTCGCGGACGTTACAAATTTTGTCCCATTCACTTCTCTTTAACCATTATTAAAAAGAAGGAGCACTAAAACTTTTAATAATGATGGGTATGCGAGGTTCGGCCTAGGCGAATCACTTTGATTTTTAAGCGACTTTGGCGCTGTTTTTTCGATTCACCTCTTGCAGGGCATTCGCTCAATTGGTCTGTTGTTTCCGGGTTGTATTTACTCGTAACCCAACAGACACATCACAGACGTTTACACTCAGCACATCTACGTGCAAAAAAGTCTTTAAGAATGCAAACAGAGGGTCGAGACTTACTTACCAGATTCGCTGATCATATGCCCTGGGCCGTTCTACACCCAGTCCTCCCTGTGTCTTCATCGACGCATGATTTTGTATGAGAAACCCCGAAGTTGAGTTTTCAGACCTCTCTTGCCTGCCTAAATAAAAACCTCTTTTAAATAAAAATTTTAGCGCATTTTTAATATTTTAGGATACCGTGGCAAAAAACAAGTATTTGTTTATAATATAACATAAAAAAAAATTTCTACTCACATTTAATTCATATAAAGCAGTGTTTTAAAAATTGTCTACTTCTGACGTTCACAAACCGAAGAAAAGAGATGTATATAATTTATATAACATTACTTAGAACTATGACAAAAAAAGAAAACATTGCGACACTGGAACCATGCCTATATGCTGCTGCTGCCGATAATGTTGATGGTGGTGATGATGATGCAGTTGCTGGGAAGGCTGATAGTGATCATTGTAAAGTACAGTAGTGACAGATTTTTTAATTTTTCTTTATTATCTCATTAAACAAACGTTGCAATTGCAAAATTAAACGAATATGATCATCTTAAGTTTTATGTGCACTACGTCTCATACGCATAGCATTCGTTTATTTATTCCGCTTTATTTTCCTAATATGCGATACTCCGCACATTCTTTCATAAGCATTTTAAATTACTTCACAAACATTTTATAAAGTGTCTTTGCCTTTTCTTCCACTATTCAAAAAAAAAAAAAAAAGTGCAAGGTAACTTTTTTTTGCTTAATTAAAAATTTTTGTAATGTTTGTAGAAACCCACTTGCTTAAGGAAACATCTTGTAAAATGTCTCGGCTTTTGTAGAAAATCACTTTCTTAAGGAAACGAAAATGTAGTTGCACAATTACGTAAACTTTACTTTTGATGTGTTTGTTGAATGCTTAAATTTTCGAAGACGTAAGTAACGTAAATGGAATTTATTTTATATTTGATTAAATTCGCATTGCAGCTGTTTGTTAACGCAAGCCAAGAAAAACACTTTACGAGAAGTTATCTCCGATCATTCCCGCAGTTACTTAACAACTGTCCCTTCTCTCTCGTTTTTGTTTCACTCTAACGAAAACGCGTTAACTCCAGACCAACGAAAAAAACAAGTGTTGTCGACCAGATTGAATTGTTAAATGTTGTCGCGATAAAAAAAGTACATGTTACACCTCCCGCCATAACAACGAATCTTTTTCTTGTTGTTGTGTATTTGCAAGAACCAAGCCGGTCGGTTTTTACCATGTATTTCGTATGGCGCTATCATCCCGTTCAAAAGACCTCTCAGTTTCCTTCCGCTTCAATATTTTGCTTATAGTACACTTTTATAATATAAAGCTTGTTTGTTTGTATGATGCAGTAAGTTTTTATCACGTCATTTAATATAAATTGTAGTATATTTTAGCACAAATTTTAATGTGTTCTAATATTCTTTTAACTCTAAGTGTAAACATGTATAGAATGTTTAAAGTATTTTCAGGAATAGTTGCTAACCAAGCTGTAATGTATATTTAAGTTGAATTGCCTGATAAATTTCAATGGCAATTTATTTTTAGAATATATTTTTAATGTTATTTCTGACCTATTATTGCAACACATTTTTAGTGAAAACTTAAATTTATTTTTGCAATAGATTTTTTATGTAGATGTGTGTTTTTATTTTTCTTTTTCTCTTTGTCTTTCTGTATACTTTACAATTTTCCGATCGATCTTACAATAAGCGGCATTTGCATTGTTCGAGGGTTGGCTCTTAATTGATCTTTATTGAGGGTCGAATAACAACCCTTTCTCGCTCATACTAACACTTTTGTTTTGATCTGCTTTTTCATAGAAAAGTATAGTAATGCATTAGTGAGCTAAACCTATACATAAATAAGCATATTGAACGAAACAAAATTCGCCTTAATGCATGGAGGCGGAGATTAGGACATTCCCACGTTTTATAATTATTTCTCTGTTTAGCTACCCTCACAGATACCAAAACAAAATGTCATAAAAAGTAGTTTGATTAGTGGTGCTCCGTTATCTTATTTTGTATAGTATTGCCCTTTTGTGAGCCTCATTGCCGTCGATAGTTATGTGTGTCTGTAAGTGAAGAATTGTTAGCTTCGTCAATTAAGTAAGATTCTTAGATTCTTCTAATCAAATTTTTGATATTTATTGAAAATGTGGTAAATGAGGATATATAGCTTTTAACAATCGCGCCACTGTTATGTAATTTTCATAACTTCTACCGGCGGATAATGGGCGTACTCGTTTTGTCGTAGCGAGTGAAACACCAAAAACTACTCCTCAGAGAATCCATAAAGTACCCGCATTCTTCATCAGCGTCAAATTCTACATAATGTTAGCTATGTCTGTCCATCTGTCTGTCCAGTGAGAATGGTTTAATTCGATCGAAGAACGCGTTGCAGCAAAGCAAAAATTGCGAGCAACTTTGTTTTGCTTATTGCTTACAACTTATAAGAAATAGAAAGAAAGCTTTTGTTTATAAACTTTGTGGAAATCATAAATATCCATTTCATTTTGCCAATATTGTTATTCTTCAAACGGGCTCAATTTCCCGGTTTACTTCTGTTAATTCGTGTACTCGTTAGACTTCCCGTCAATTTCCTCATTTCGCTAGGAATATATAAGGCGCAATGAGTTTTCGACAAACGCACATCGAAAATTTTTTCCCAATTGAGTTGTTCAAGTAGCTAAATGTGTGTACAAAATTTCAACAAAATCAATCATATTGAAGAGACCAAAATATTGAGAGCAACCTTTTGGAAGTAGGCTTGCTACAATATAATCTGAGAAAAGATCTTGCTGTGCTTATACATACAGACAGTTTCACTCTATCCCGTAAGCTGACTTTTTTAAGTTAGAGTTTTTAAAATCCCTTCCAACTCGTCACTGCGGTGAGCTGACGACAATTGTTCGTATGCGCTAGAATTAACGTGTGTCCACCATAAACATATCACGTCCAGAACTACTTCAGGTCTATCGTGTGTACTTGAGTTTACCAATCTTAGTTTTATACAGTGCAACGAGTAGAATACTATCACTCGAATTCAAGATATTTTTTCTCATATAATTTTTAGTTATTACGTATCCGTGAGCTACAAGCAACACACGATGGCAATTGAAAACACTCGGAGGAAGTTATAGAAATTTGAACATTACTATAAGCCAAAGCACATTTGTGATGGTGCCAAACTATACTGGACACCGGAAGCGACTACTTGTTTCGTGCCTAATCCCGTCCGCTAATTCGACGATAACCATACGCGAACTAGTACGAGGATCCTGCATTCTTTTCGCAAATGAAGCTTGTTATTGCTCTTGCATGGATTGTTGCAGTTTACCTGCAATCGGCAGTAACTGCGCTGGCTGCTAGTCCGTTTCTCTCAAGACAAAGGTCAGTCTGACGTTCACCCAGGTTATGGAAATCTCTTCTTCCTGAGGAATGACGCATATGGTACTTGGTAAAACATGCCCCCACAAGCTCCTGGTTAGTCTGGTCGTAACCATCTTGCAAGTAATTACTAGTATTATAATCAAAGAATATGCTTTATAGCTTTTTCACTGATAAATATTCAGTATATTGCGGAAGAGGCACCTTACACTTAACAAGATAATGAAATACTTAATATAACTTTTAATTTATTTATTCTGCTTTTCTTTGCAATTTTTCCTAGCACTAAACAATAATATAATAAAAAGGTCTCCTTACGTACCTCCCATTTTGCGCGAGATGGAGGCTGTCAAAGTACCACATCCAGATAATAAAGGCTTTAAGACGATAAAAGCATATGTCTATCTCTTTTAAGTAGCTGCGGCGAATATTTCGGATGAGCAGATTTAATCCATTACTTAAGTAGCGTAGTTGTAGGTAATCACTACGATATTTAATTAATACGGAAAATCGGAGCAATCAATATGTTGGAGTTAATAGTTAATATCCAATCGGTATATTGCGGTATTCGACTTGGTATTTAATGACATCTGATTTACTTCGCGTGCTACATCTCGGTCTTTCGCATATTTTTTGCCTAACGAGGGCTCAATATGCGAGTTAAAGCATAACCTTTCGTAGAACTCCTAAATCTGTCAACGAATCGACGTCCCCCAACGTGTGCGGGCCAATTAAATACTTAGTAATGAATAACTTGTAATGTCCGTTAATAAAATTCAGTGATGCGATGGAGAGGGGGGGGGGGCCCCCGTGTGTATTTGTCAGTCTGCTTTTACAGCAAGGGTCCCAACCAACGCAAAAGAAAAAAAAAAGAAAATCATGCGAGGAAGTTAGGGTTCTTTTGATTGATTTGCTAATCGAGGAGTCGCGCAAGAGAAGTCAAAGGAGTAGCATTATTTGAGTGTTGTGTTAGCATTGCAGAAATAAAGAAAAAAAAAAAGGAGATTATGGTGTGCTTGTTAGGCATGCACAGATATTACCATAAATATAAGCAAAGTTTTCATATAAATAATTACGTTAAGCACCAAAATATGGATAAGCAAGAATTAGCCAAAAAGTAAAAACAACCATCGTCAAAAAGCTTACAAGCATAAAATTATTCACAAAAATATAAAAAAAAAATAAAAATATACGAAATTGGTTATATTATAAAACTACGAAGAAAAATGTGTTGTAAAAAGTACTTTCTTTCGATTAAGTACAAAACGAAACATATAGCTATGCAGAGAACAGTTTATTAGGTTGAATAGGTCTTAGGACGTGCAAACCCTTCTCATTAAAATGCATGGACAGTAAAAAAAAAGGGGGCAAAAGTGAAAAAACTTGAAATCCCGTGTGACTTTCAGTTGACCTTTGCATATTCATGTGCGTGTTTCGTTAAGTTTAAAGAAGAAAAAAGAGAGAAAAGGAAAGAGAACCAAAGAGAAAGAAAGAGAAAAAGGAAGGGAGAACTCGGTAAGCCGTGATTAGTTTCATGAGGATTGAAAGTTAAGAGAGGAAAGTTTGCAAAGAGTTCGATCGCAAGAGAGTCGTTTCTTTTTGCTCTTCAATCGGTGTGGAAGTGAGAAGTTTTGGTCGTTAAAGATTACTCTTTAAGTGTGACGTTGAAGAAAGCTTTTAAAAGAGGAAAGTTTTAAAGTTTTTCTACTGCTTTAGTTTTCCTTCTTTTTATTGTTTAAATGAAGAAATAAACGAATGAAAAAAAAAAATTAATAAAGGGTAGAATTGCGAATCTTGCATTGAATAAACGAATGAGAAACCAGTAAATGTTAGAATTGTGCATTTAACAAGAAATAAACGAATAAAAAAATTGATAAAGGTTGGAATTGCGAATTTTACATGGAGTAAACAAATGAAAACTAATAAATGTTAGAATTGTGAATTTAACATTAACTAAACAAACGCAAAGCTAATAAATATTGGAATTGTGAGTTGAACATTGTGCGTTTGGTTTCGCAATTCACAAATGGTTGTAATGCATACCTTTTCGAGTGAAGATGCCATGTTCCTTTAAAATGCTTGGCAAGAAATATCAAAGAGAATGATCTTTTTATTATTGTCCGGTCATCAAATAAATTACCGATGTACATGTAGATATAGATATGTACAAATAGATATAGATATGTAAACAAGGTAAGTATGTGTAAATTGATTTCCAACAAACAGCAATAAGTGAGTTTATATATACAAATGCGTTTGTAGTGTTAACATGAAGCATTACGTAACAGAAACAAAACAACAGAAAAATACAAATAGCGAATTTTGTTCTACTAAATAAAATAAAAGAGGTTTCCTAATATCGAGAGATCTGAGAAATTTACTTTGTAAAATTGTCAACATTTATAATAAAACAATGAACAGCACAGACGAGGTAATGGTATAATGTGATTAGAAGACCTTTTTTTTTAATTATTTTTTTTTATCCGTTATTTGGGTTTTATTAGTAGTTAATGTTTTTTTTTTTTTGTGATGCGGAATCACGGGCCGAGTGCAGCCGCTTTACCGCCCAAGAGTTAGGTCGCGTACACAAAAAATTTCATTACAAACTTTCTTCTTGAGAAAGAAAGCTTTCTACATTTATTTAGGTTTAATTTCGTAAAATTCAACGAGCACCATGCAATCAAATTATTTAAGTCAAATTGAAGCTGATATGATAGCGATTCTATGGAAAAGGGAGAAAACAGTTACACATCATCAGCATACGTAAAGATCTGGCTGGATTTAATCACCAAGGGCAGGTCATTAACATATAAATTAAATAAAATGGGTTCTATGCGACTGCCTTGAGGTACGCCAGGCGTCACGGGGAAGTCATCAGAGGTGATGTATTTAAACAAAACCCTGAAGGATCTATTGTGCAGATAAGAGTTTATCCATTTCACTAAATAAGAAGGGAAGCCAGAAATTTGGGGTTGGTATTATCAACTGCCAAAATTTCTAACATATTTATCCCACGAGAGGAGAACCACCTTTAACCGTCATTCAAGTCAGGCCACTTTTGAGCAGTGTTGATAGTATCGATCCCAACAGCGTCCACACTTAAATCTTCAACATCCTTGAACCCCAGTTGGCGTGACTTAGGCGACGGCTGTTTATTGTTTCAACCTCGGAAAGTTTGCAAGTGCGCATTTGTCTTGAATTAACAGCATATTTGACTTTGTTCCTTTTTCCACACTAAATCTTCAAATTTATATTTTCGTTGTCAAGTTTATACGCCTTTTAAGTTGGATGGAAGAGAAAGATGAAATTTCATTTCAATTATACCAATACTCGCAGCTAACAGCAGCCTCCTATCTAAGTTTGAGTATAATCTAGTCAATTAGATCCAAGTTATCACTCAAAATATTGATTTGATCATCTGGCCAAATGTAAGAGCTGTAGCACTCATACACACAACGTTCCCGATTGAAATGATCAGGACGATCATGAAGATGACGGCGATTATGATGAAGGTTCATCCTTTACCGAAAGTACTTGTCAGCTGATGCAAAAGCAACATCAGCTGGAGAAGATGAAAAACAGAAAATTGAAAAGACGCAAAGATTTCAAATGTAATCAACGCAACAATACGTGCTATAACCTCAAGTGAGGAGAGCAGTAAGCAGGATCACATGCTATATCATGACTTGGATCGTATGTTTCTATTAAGTTTGTTGCTGTATTTGCGTCAGGTTGACGATCAAAGAATATAAAAAGTAAGACAAAAATTACAAAATGATTTTTTACGCTTGTTTTAATTTATATACGCTTGTACATAAAAGTCTTACAAATTAGAAAAGTATTATTTAAAATTTGTAAAAATTGGTATTATATTTTCTATAACTTGACTGCACATAGAAAAAGAAAGAAAAAAAAGAATGATACTTAACTAATTACTCTGCAGTTATTGCTGAGAAGAGTTATGATTAGGTGTAAGTGTGAGTTAGGGTAATGGACAGGGAATACGGAACAACGGACAGCGAACTGTACAGACAACGGTCCTTGCAGTCGGACTTACATCAAGTGTCAGGTTACGGCATGTGAGCAGAACAGCTTGAAATTGAAAAATTTTATTTATCATACAGCACGGCAAGGCAGAAAAGAAAAAATAAAAATCATAAAGCTCTATCGCAAAGCAGCTATGCCTGTGATCACCTTTCACTAATCTTCTTGTTCCGTGAAGGAGGGAAAATCGTTACTTGTTTGTATGACGCACGAGTTAGATGATCATCGTAATAGATACGTGAATCACGTAAAATGGGGCCCAATGAATAGATGGATCTTTGGCATATCCCACCATAACCGCTCCGTGCATGTACAATTTAATTTTATCCAAACCTACTTCCCATTGGCAAAATAGCAGCAGCAGTGCTTTAAATTCGTATACGTTTTGAAAGACTCTGCAATCTTCAGTACTAGCTCTCTCACAATTTTAATGTCAGCTGGCAAGCCACCCGCGATAACATAAATCTTTCCAAGCGGCGAAGCTGCACGTTATGTTAGCGATCCATTTTAATCGATTTGGCCTTCATATCATTCATATGTTGTTGCACAGTCAGTTGACCGACGTACATCCCATGCCGCATCCTTGCTCGTTGTGCTGCAATAGCTTGGTTCGCAATTCATTAATTTCTCGGAGACAATGATTATGCTGTTCTCACATGGTACATGTGTACTTGAAAATCCTGTTTTTAGTGCAGAAAATAAGTTGCTTCTCCGAAACATCAGCACAGGCCCAATGAAGTGTCTGCTCGCCAAGACCACAATTTGTACAATTACGGCCAAAAGTTACATTTTTAGCGAATTTCAAACAACGAGCCTCAGTAGGCACCATGATTAATATTGCAGGCAAAGAACATGCGAAGATAAGTCCCATCACCTATACACACACGCATTCTGTGAAACTTATATGTGCAGAAGTTCTGTGATGTTAAGTAATATGTCTATGATACCTACATATTTTTCACCAAAAAAACCGTTTTAATTCATATATTTCAATTTTCCAGTTTCAATTTAATACGATTTCTTTTAAAATGGAACAAGTTTTGCAGAATACGAAACATAAGAGGAAGATTTTTCCATTTCTTGTAACAGAACTTTATTTTCGATTAAATAATTTTGACTAATAAACACATGGTTCCCTAACGCTCCATGATCTGCTCTTTCTGCTGTTATCGTTATTGTTGCTGGGCATAAAATAACTCCTTCGCTTTTTTTTCTCTGTCAACTGATAATTTTATTTCCTTTATACCTTCACTTATTTATATCCCTTCACGAACACTAAAATTTAGTAAAAGATTCATTTTTTATCCAAATTTTGTCTCACCGAACGAATTCTATTTTAATTCCACCAGAGTTGCCAAGATTCCAAGAATCCACAGATTTAATCGCAGCTGAGTACTTCATCAATTCACGGAAAATTGGAAAACGTAAATTCGTTCAGTGAATTGGGGTTTTTATGCGATCAAAGACTACGTTTTCTTTTAAATTTTTGGTGTAGGTTTTCTTGAAACGAAAATCGGGTGAATTTTTCTTTTAAATTTTTGATGCAAACCTGGGGGCAGTACTTATGGTCACATCCATCCCGGAGACATTATTTCGACCATACTCGAACCTTGGAATTCAGTGTTGATGTAGGCCCTCTAAAATGCACCGTTGTCTGAAGAAATGCGGGTTTCGGTAAACGCATTTAATCTGTTCTACAAACAGACAGGCTTCGTCTGCTTAAGCCGTCAAAACAGTTTACAGACCTTGAAGTTCAAAGACTACTGCAGTGAAGGGATTATGAAACTTGCGAATGTTTTAAACAGATGGCTAGTACTAGAATGCAAATCTTAGCTGTCTAAATAGTTGAGGTTAAATACCTAATCTATTTTCGTTGTACAATTGTAATTTTGAAGCCAAAGTTAGTTTTTGTAAATTTATTTTTTTTGTCGTACATAATTTTGCAAACAGTACTCAGCAAACATCGAGTAAAAATACTTACAATACAGTTACAAATATGTGTATTACTATTACGCTTAATACGAAGGCGAACTTTTATTAATGTGTACTGCATGCCTTTCTTGTTTTCGAAACTTCGCCCTGCGATTTTGGAACCATACCTTAGCATAGAATTTAAAACCAAAGTAAACTTATTTTATTCAGTTAAAAAATATTTTCTACCTGTACTCTAGCCTCAGTTAATTCAATTCTTGTTGCAATCTCTTCTCTTGTGTAAATATCTGGATAATGTGTTTCCTGAAATATTTTTTCTAATTCTTTAATTTGAATGGAATTGAAGGTCGTACGCATTCGACGTTGTTTCTGTCGTTCTACTTGATAAGACACCTGATCATTTGTATAATCTGAAAAACAAGAAAAAATTAATTCACTTTATAGTCCATCAAAGTATCAAAGTATAAAAGGGGAACACAAAAATATTAAATGAAATTTAAAAAACTAATGCTTGCTATATTAATCCAGCTTATTTACAAGCGCAGTTGTGTGCTCAACAATGAAAATGGTATACCTAACGTTGCGACAGTAAATGTAATGAAATTTATCAGGTAGGTGTTTCATTGCAGTACATATTTTGTCATGAAACTCTTGAATTTTTTCTTTTCCTCGCCGCCGAGGATTTAAAAATTTTTCTTTAGACAAAGAAAAAAAAAAATAAATAAAATAAAAATAAAATAAAATGAATGAAATAATAAAAAAACAAACTAAATGAACGAAAAGGTCTGGTCAGTTTCCGGATGTGCGTCTGTCGCCAGTGGGTCAGTCGGTCATCGTCTAGCGTCGGCCCTACATGGCCACCATGTGCACGCCCTACACCTCAGCCACAGCGGTGGCAGCGCACGCTTAGCCACACATGGGTAACAACGAAATCAGATAGCTTAAAGGAAAAGATAACATAACTTACAGTACAAGCAAGGTGGTAGTGTTCGTTTACTTGGTGAATATCACTGCTTTCACTGTCGGCTGCAGCTATCCTAGTGCTCCCGATAAGTTGTTGCTGTTGTTGTTGCTTCTGCCTTCAATTTTATTACTTCCCTCTGATTCGTTGCTGGTGGTGTAACAAGGTGATGGTGACTGCTTCACTGGCTGCCGAATAAATTTATGCATAGGAGTTCATGAAGTCACTTCTCTGCATCCATGCACATAAAAGCGGCGATAAATCTTCAGGACTTTGTTGTAATAAACCAATTAAAAGCCCTTTTTTTTTGTTTTTCGCATTCACTCATTTATTTATTATTCTTTTTTTTTTTCAAATATCTTATTCTTCGCGAACATCAGTATTTCCTACGTTAATGTGCTTTGTATTAATATCAACAACAATAAGTATATTTAATTTTTATCAATTATTCAACTGTTCATGGTGGGTTAATGGGTTTTTCCATTTAGATTTCGTTGTTTTTTTTCTTTTGATTTCATTCCCAAGTTGGTCTGTTTTAACTCAAACCACACAACGAAATGTTTGAAAGTATTTCTATTTTTATTAACTATAAATTTTCTGTTAACAATAATAAATGGATTCTAATTAATCAATTATATGTGTAAGTGTTCATTGTGTGTTAAGGGTTTTTTTATTTTTATTCCCAGCATCACATGGGTTTACGTGTATTATTTGCACAGGCTCTTACGATAAGCATCTCTAACTAACTTTATATGCGACGGCTGTACCCGTTCTATATGAAAAAAATAATGTTCTACATATGCTGTTCTTTGCTTTTCGATAATTTTCTCCCACAATATGCGCGAACTGGGGCAAAAATGAATCATTTAGTTATTTTAATTAAATCGAAGAATTATGCCAACACCTATGTGATATTAAGACCGTGTCAATCAACCAGCCCTTCATTATCAGTCCTTTTTTTTTTCTTTTCAATAATTAGAATGGCCTCTTTTATAATGTTAATCAAAATTATTGTATTTTGTTATAATTTTCGTTTGCTTTTAATTTTAATATTAACTTCTGGCAATATCCGGAAAAATATTTTACGCGAAATGTCCGAAAAATGTCGACACATGATTTTCTTAAAGTTCGCAAAAAAAAAATGGATCATTATCCTTTTATTTGTTTTAACAAATATGATATTTACATTATTTTCTTTTCTTTTATGCCAGTAAACAAAGACTACCACTGGATAAAAAAACGACAAGAACCGCACTCAGCGAGTGCCTAACTCCGACTTCATTTGCTGCGGGGTGATACGTATATTTCCTTAAAGCCTTCCCCTTTTTTTTTTGTGGCCCTTAACAAAATGTGTCGTTTTCGTTCTGTTTTTGTTTTCGATGACGTTTTCTCCTTATAATTAATCAAACTTTCTTTGGTGCAGAATAAATTTAAAAGTGCAAAATTTTTGCAATTTTCTTAAGGAACACTTGTTTACTTATTTTACTTTAGTTTTTCTTTTGCGATTTATACACTTTTGCCCACTAGA